ACGCTCGGACTGGGGCGAGGCGGGGGATTGGTTACTACGCACATTGTTCTTCAAAGGATATGTTAGATATGTACAGGGTGAAACGCTCATGTGAGAACGTTTGACGACAAAGCTTTTATGTCCAAATCGATAACCAGTCGAAATGCAGAGGCGAGACCCTGAAACAAACATCGAACTAGACCCGACAAAAGGAGAAGTTTTACGGATTTGCACGACACCATACGAGACTAGTTTTAGTGTTATCTTGAATGGGTCCACTGTAAGTGACTGTTCCATACAGATGGAGGAAAATACAAACAGACCGTTGGGACCACTGGGACTCAGTTAATAAGTATGACCACTTAACAGAGGTGGCCGCTTTATATTACAGTAATTAAAGGAAGAGAATTTCGGGATTTTGAAAATCGGCTACTTAGCCTGACAGGGTTACCGCCTAATACCACGCCACTTAATGCAGGTTCGCGTCGCTGTAACCCTTAAGACTTTTCCTTAGATCCTTCATCCAACGGAAAGTTATGGCAAAGTCAAACAATTCGATATTTTTTGGTGAGTGGTCCACTGATTCTCGATACTCCCAGAAGTACGCGGGAGGTTGCTAAGCACGAAAGAAGCGTAAGAGTCGCTCGAGGCGAAATAGTAGGTTCCTCAGGTATCACTTAGCTATAGCGGGTTTAGAGTTCTGCTCCAATAGTCTTCTTACCCCAGTCAAGGATAACATAGAGCATGGTTAAAACATTGGTTTATTCCGGATTTACTTATGATGGGTTTACTGCAGTTACCTTATAGATTTATGTGTTTGCATTGAGATTAGATAAAAAAAATCACCTCGATAGTAATAAAGGAGTGTACAGGTATTGTCGTTGTCTCACAAAAGAACATGAATTCTCACATGACACAAAGACTTTGCTTCGTACAAAGAAAGCTACAAGTCAATGATCTCAGTTCTGTTCAATGTTCGGTTCAAGGCTCGATTACCATCAGATTTGAAACGCTATCTTTGAATTGTTCCCACCAGTGCATAAGGCCGACTTTGTTTATGTAGCAGTTTGCATACTGTTCTGCAATATCACTCGCGGACAAGACCCTGCTCCAAAGATTAACTTCTGTCACCTCACCCGGTCCAAAACTATCACCAATACTGAAGCCCCCTCCAACTGTATCTTGATCTTGTCCAATAACAACTGTTCCGCCAGCGGGAACCTGGTGATTTTCCTTCAAGCCTGTTCCGTTGCTTCGGAGTTGTCCATCCAGATAAAACTGCCAGGCGCCGTTAGTGCCTTTCCAAGTAACACAGATGTGATGCCACATGGTGTCACTTATCTTTACCCCGGTGTCTGTAGCCCTTGGAAAATGATCATAGACAAATACACGTTGGAAAACTCTCATATGCTCCAGAGAATGGCTTCTTCCTTACTTATTAGGATTACTCGCTGAATTGCTTAAGTTGTGAGTCTGATTTTAAAATTTCACACAAACAAACGGCTCATTCCATAGATGAAATGTTAACAGTCAAGGAGATTTGACTTAGCCAGGTTACCACTCCAAAAATTATCATCTTTATTCATCATCATCGCTCTAGTCATTGTTATTGCGTACTATTATTGTTTTATTTTTTTGACTTCTGTTCATTGTTATTGTGATTATTAGCATCAAAGTTCAAAAGAGGGGGTTTCAAAATATCTACCGTTGGTGTTTGAGGCCTCTTATCGATTAGGTTGATTGAGGAAGAATACTATGCTGCAGAGTGGTTGATTTTCCATAACAATTATGATTGTTTTTTTCTTTATGATACCTCCGTACCAAAGTATGTACTCACACGCAACACAAAATTACATTGATGCTTTCCTGATTTGGATAATGCCGTTACATTTTTGTCAACATTTTCCGACATTTCTTGAGCATTTTTGTTGGCTGTTCTATCATGATATGGCACTGAGTTTTCCGTCTTTCAATACCTCAGAAATTGCTTCAGTGCATTGCTAAGCGCCCCGGAAAAAGTGAAAGAAAGTCACTTTATTGGTTTGTTTCACGCTGATCATTTACCTGCTTCGCGGCTCATCTACGTTGATCTCAATATTCGGTTCATTCAAACAGACATATATGGCATTTCCAATATCAGAACCAGAGGCCTCTGCGTAGCTGTAGAGGCACTGTGAACTCGCTGAATCTGTATCCTTCCTCTTAACAAAAAGACACACCGTAAATTCCGTGAGATTAGATGAAATGGCATTTACTTTGATGGCGTAACTGTCGGTGGAAAGTTGTTCAAAAATTATCCGGTAAGCTGTGGAAAAAAAGTGAGTTCCTTAGGAGACCAGAAGTGCCATTTCTCACGTTTTCTATGGAGAATTTCACAAATCAATACAGCAAAAGACGGCCTAAGATTAAGTACCGTGTATTGATTCTCAACCATTGACATAGTTTATAATACAACAGACTAGACTTCAAGCAGTCCACTACTGCAAATATCAAAACATCTTGCCAATAAATGTTTTGACATCTACATAAATAATTTCAGATTTCCAGCGGATCGCACGGTGCACGTGCGTAAACTGTGGTCGCCATGCCCCTCTATTTCAACGACGGTAATGAACGAAGAAAGTGCAGTAGTACAGATTTATTTTTAGTATTGGTTTCGACCAAAAAAGCAACACTAAAGGACCTTTGTAACATGTAGCTATGGAGAACACAAAAGGAATTTCACTTTAGCCCTTAAACTACTCATGGTTGACGAGGCCAAGGGACAATTATTGCTTTTCAGTAGGTAATATACTATTATATATATCATTATCCAACTACACTCCGTAGAGCACGAATAACGTCTAAGACGAGTATCACGTGGTATTTATCACTCGTTAAAATTCTATCATATACTTTAATAGAGGTAATTACGTTAGCGAATCATTTAAGGCCAACAGCTATTACCTGTTTTACATCAAAGATGGCACGGCAATAGTTCACCGATGGTCGACAGATAGTTCGCCGATAGTTCACCGATAGTCGACCGATAGCTCGCCGATACTTCAGCAATAGTTTACCGATAGATCATTGACACTATCGGCCGATAGATGGACGCTCAGAAGAAAGACACTCGGCCGACACTCGTCCGACACTCGTCCGACACTCGTCCGACACTCGTCCGACACTCGTCCGACACTCGTCCGACACTCGTCCGACACTCGTCCGACACTCGGCCGACATATCGGTCGAATATCGGCCGACAGTGTCGACCGACACTGCCTACTATAAACACGATTTAGCCTAATTGGTAGAAGCTAAGCACATCTATCACAAAAAACCGCCAAAGCCTAACGCCAAAATTCAGGGATTTAAACGTATACAAACGATTTTAATGTAGATCATATGAAATATGTTTCACGTGTCCACAAACCTGTTGAACAAGAAAGGCCTTCAATCTTTTCACACTGTGTCCCGTGAAATCCTGACGCACAGCTACAGTTGTATCCGTTGACTCCGTCTATGCAAGTTCCATTGTTTTTGCAAGGATGGCTCTCACAAGTAACTTTTTGGGAGTATAAGATAACGTTCATACACTGTAATCAATACTATTTTGTTAAACGCTAATGTAAAGAGACTGGAGAAAATATCGGACCCTTAAATGAAAGGCGTGGGACCAATTTGACTCCGATGATGTGCAGTCATTTTCTGCTATGCCAAGCACAAAACTCTTTACAATCAGTTATTTTTTCAGTAAATATCAAGTTGTATTTATCAATTTGTTCACTATAAAAGAAAGATGAAGATATCTTTCAAATAAATAATTAATCATATCTACATAAACCTTTACATTTCTTTTATCTTTTCCGTCCTTGTCAGTTTTCTATTTTACTTCTCTCTTATATTATTTTACTTCTTCTTCTCTCTCCGCTTTGTTTTGTTTTTATTTTCTGGTTTTTATTGATTTGTTTGTTTCCAAGTCTCGAATTCATACACTTTGCCATGTGGCTTGAATGATATTATTTCAACATTTTCATTCTACTGTTCTAAGTTTTTCTTACTCAGATCAGCACAAGTTTCTCCGGTCCAAGGGGGCTTGCACTCGCATGAATAAGTTTGTTTTTCCCCGTCATATATACACTCACCTCCATTTTTACAACTGTTGGTTGTTGGACAACCCTAAAGAAAGGCAGTAACACACCTTATTATCCAATCAAGTTGTGTTTCGTAGAGAACAAATAAAGCGCGAGACGAGTACAAATATC